CAAGAGATATCTCAGTCACGAATAATAAAAATCAGTAGGTAAATAATTAAGAAACTGCAACGAATACATATAACAAAGCAAGGATACAAAGTAATAAAAAAAAATCAAAGTCATGACATGATGAAAAAAAGATGACAAAAAGCAGAGAAGGTAAACAAAAAGAAAAGAAAAATAAATAAAAGGAGATTATAGAGTAGAAACTACATGAGAACTACTGAAGATGAAATTCCTACTAGCTGAAAAATCTTTGAAACTTAAGTTCTCATTTTCACAGATTTCACAAATGCCTTAATGAAAACGGATTCGCGTATCATCGGAACAGAAGTGGAACTATCGTGCTGACACGATCTACGAACTTTATGTCCTTGCTGATAATAAGGTTTAGGTTGTCTACAACAAGCTTCACACTGGCATAATGTTCTTCACGTTAATGTCAGAAAGCTTCTAAATGTTCCCTTAGATGGGTTTAACACATCTTTTGTCGTGCCAATGTAAATTTTTCGAAAATCTTTACAATCTACTTGGCAAATAGCTCAATTTTAAAACAGGTCATCTGTTGTAAGGCGTTCACAATACAAGATGATACACAAGACGATATCCATCCTACAGATGTCAATGAATCAGACCGTATTTACATAACGACGGAGGAGTGGAAATAAATGCAAGTAGAAAGTAAAACGTTATGTTTCTGATGTGTTGAGATGGGAGGTGAAGGTTGTAACTTGGAAGAAAGAAATGACGCTGGATAATAATGTGATCGTACAGATTAGACTTTAGCTTTACCTACCGATGGAAGGTATGCAAAAGGATCTTCTCTGCACATTAATAATTTGTGCTAGTCAGGAACACCCTTGCGGGTTTCAAAAGCCTCACCATATAAGTACATTTGTCCAGACTTCTAACAGTCTTTTTCTTTATCGATAATCTTGTATCTTGCTCTTGAAATCTTACCCATAGCGAGTGAACTGACTAGAAACAGAATATCTGATTTACAAGTACCGTAAGAGTAGCTTTCCGGCGTACAGCTTGCTCAGTTTGTGTAATGGCACAACATATCGTTTGTCTGTATGACAAATTTGTCTTTGAATGTTTTGGTTGCTTCACTTTCTAAAGGGTTCGCTAGATGGGATTTGTTTCCGCACTTTAAACTGCACATTCTTATTGGCGTCCTTATGAACAGTTATCGGTTCATTCATTCCCACGGTTTTTGCATGAACCTTTCGGGAAGCTGTCATATTTCAGATCGTCGCTGATCGGACTGAGGATAATTCTGATTTTGAAAGATCTCTACAAGATTCGTTTCGACGATGAATAACGTGTGAGAACTGAAACTGAAATATAGGCCCGTGTGACGGTATACTGCGGTCCAAAGCTGGTTTTTCGTTATGTCGTTTATTATTAGTCGGCATTCTTCAACAGGATGCTCAGCAACGAAAAGAAGGAAAATCAACGATCGTTGGGAAGCATGTCTCTCAGCATTTATATGACGGAACGTAGTTACAGACCATACCGCGCATGAGGCCTTCGGTGCAGAGCTGATCTTCATTACGATCTCGCTTGTTCAGAGTTTAAATACCTACTTCCAAAGAGATGGTTAATATTGTCGTGTTCGATCATTTGCTCTTACTGATCAGTTATATCGATCACATGGTTTCTGCCCGTCATCACAGAAAAGGCTGTATAATCCTACTGCGAGCTGCCCCGCTAATTACTCACAGCAATAAACTAAGCCGGGTCGAAATGACTTATCAAATCGCATCACCGAACATCGACGTAACCATCGTCAGTCACAAATCCGTTAGGCACAAAGTTCGAGAAAGTCATTTCAGTATGTTTAGGAACTATACACGTGATCTTCGCCATTTCAAGTTACGAAGAGTAACTTCGCTGATTGTCTTATCGTTTCACTACAGAACAGTGAAAGAAGCGAAGGAACAAAGGGAGTTTCATTGTAAAAAAAGACTATGTTAGCGACATTGAGGACGATAAGGAAATTTGTTGTTTATCACTGTCGTTCCCCACTGCAGTGTTTTGTACAAAAGGGGCACACCATTATACTGATAACAATAATATTGCCAAAGCGAACAAACTCCTGATGATGTTTCGTCTTAATCATCTGTAATTCAAATAGTGGTCTATTTTCCAACACCACAGTTACAGGTAGGTGTGCATCAAAGCGGTTAATTTCTGGAGCCGTTTCCACATGGCGGTATCCACTCAGGAACCTAAAGAGGATAGATAGTGCACAATCCACTCAGGAATCAAACCCTTGGCACAATAAGCTACACCAGAGTAGGTTTTCGTGTTTGCTATTTAAGTGCCAAGTGAATTAGCCGAAGCCATTTCTCAAACTCGCAATTTCTTTCGACCAACAGCAATACAAAACTGAATATATACCTGTCTATCTCTTTCGGTTTCACGCTCTTTTTTTATTCGTTCGAGCTCTGCCAGAAGTTCTGCAGTATCGTCTTCATCGCCATCACTGTCGGCATCCTGAAATAACCATCTACATGAGTGA